TTTTTTTTTTTTTTTTTTTGAGTTGGAGTCTCACTCTGTCGTCCAGGTTGGAGTGCTGTGGCACGCTCACAGCTACCCCAGCACTGACCTCCTGAGCTCCAGCAATCCTTCCACCTCAGCCTTCCAAGTAGCCCGAACTACAGGCGTACGCTACCATGTCCGGTTAATTTTTTATTTATTGTAGAGACGAGGCCTCACCAAGTTGCCTGGGCTGGTCTCGAACCTGTGGGCTCAGGCAACCCACTTTCCTCGACCTCCCAAAGTGCTGGGACTACAGGCTGAGCCACCATCCCCAGCCAAGACCTCCTCTTTAAAAACAAAAAACTTGGTGGGGTGTGGTGGCTCAGTCTGTAATCCTAGCACTTTGGGAGTCCAAGGCAAAAGGATTGCTTGAGTCTGGGGATTCAAGACCAGCCTGGGCAACTTGGCGAGACCTTGTCTCTACAATAAATAAAAAATTAGCCGGGAGTGGTAGCGTGTGCCTGTAGTTCCGGCAACTTGGAAGGCTGAAGTGGAAGAATCGCTTAAGGCCAGCAAGTCGAGGCTGCAGTGGCTGTGAGCATGCCTCTGCACTTCAGCCTGGGTGACAGAGTGAGACTCAAAAAAAAAAAAAAACAAACAAACCAAAAACTATCCTGAGTCTCATTTTCCTAACTCTGTAAGGGTGTGCAATGAGACTGCTTTTGGTAAATTTCATGCTTTCCTGACCAAAGATAAGTCTCTCTTCGTAGCAAAGAAATTATTACCCTGACGTGACTCAGAGTAATCCAGATAGATTTCATCGTGCTTAATGAAAATGTACTAAATGCTCCCTCTATGCCAGCAACAGAGGCTTTTTTCTCCCTCCACCCCCAAAGAGAGGATTCTAGTCTAAATGTCTGAAAATAGCTCGCATTATAACAAGCCCCTGGCACAAAATTTGGCTTCAATATAGACAAAAAAATCTTCTCTTAAACCAAAATGCCACTGCCAAGCTAAAAGTTGCATCTTCCAGGGAATGAAACTAGTGACGTCTCAATCCTGCAAATATGTTATAAGCATATACTGAGTTTTAGTTAGTTTAGGTCAGATGTAGAAGTAAACAGCTGAGGAAAAGAAAGTTAACTGGTCCAAGAAGGGTCTGAAGTTGTCTTGGTGTAAGATGGCTATGTATTTGTCAGTACACATCAAGTTCTCCAGAGTGCCCAAAAGCCTTGAACCAGGCTGGGCAAAGAGACACAAGAAAAGCAAGGTTCCATTTTATGGTCTCCTACTCAGGAGAAAAGATACAAAGTAGGAAGTTATTTTATGAGAATTAATACAGATGAGCAGCCGGCTCGGTGGCTCAGTCTGTCATCCCGCACCTTGGGAGGCTGAGGTGAGTGGATTGCCTGAGCCCGCGGGTTTGAGACCCGCCTGGGTAACTTGACGAGACCTCATCTCTAGATAAATCAAAAAAATTAGCCGGGTGTGGTAGCGCGCGCCTGTAGTTCCAGCTATTTGGAAGGCTGAGGCGGAAAGATCGCCGGAGCCCAGCAGGTCGAGGCTGCGGTGGCCGGGAGCGGTCACTGCACTCCAGTCTGGGTGACAGAGTGAGACTCCTACTCAAAAAAAAAAAAAAAAAAAACAGATGA